GGCTGACCCGGGTTTGCGAAGACCTGCGTTGCAGTTTTTTTTCCTGCATTGCAGTTTTTGGTTTCCTGCTGACCCGGGTCTGGATTGACCTGGGTCAGACGATCTCCGATCAGAGAGAGCCTGAGAGCGCCCATGACTCGGAGCCTTCCAGAAGGCGCGGCCCTATCCCAGCAGTTGTGGCCTTCGGCAGCCTTGCTGGTCCCCGTGTTTTCCTTCTTCGCCCCATCGCAGGCCTAGATGTTGACACCAATATCAAGATCGGCGGTATGCCTCCACCGAGGGAAGAAGATCCCGATCTCGGTGTCGGTGGCAGTATTCTGGCTTCCAGTGTGGCCGAAATATTAGCACCATCACCGACATCTAGGATCATCTTCCCCCTGTCGAGGCAACCTCCAGAGTTGGTGTTGGTGCCAACTTCCAGGCCTGCAACCCCCCGAGGTGTCCAGCAGCCCCGCGATCATGAAGCACCCCCACATTCTGCAGGACCTGCTGGTCAAGGTCGCGTCGTGCAACGCGGCAGCGACGGCCGCAGCCCTGGCGGCGAAAAAGGCCCGACGCGTCGCCTTGGTCCTCGCCTTCGTGATGGTGGTCGTCGTCGTCGTCGTTTTCCTCCTCCCTGGCCTCTGACGTCACGAAACTATCTGTCACGGAGATCCCCATCTGCGCATCTGTTTTGTAGCGCGATCATTGCTCGGTTTACCAGTCTGTGAACATGTGCTATTCTGAGTGTGGGACAGCGACAGAGCATGAATGAGTCTGAATGCGGTTTAGCATCTACAAGTGATGAGCGGGTCTGAGTATGAGTAGGTCCGATTCCCAGTGGACCCGAAAACATGTGAGTCAACATAGAAGTGAGCCTGGGTATGAATGGGTTCGAATGTGTGTATGAGTCTGAGTATGAGTGGGTCACAGTATCGGAGACGCTTACGCCTAACCACCGCCGCCTCCATGACTTTTTGAAGCGCCTATGTGGCCAAACGTTGGGCCGAAGTCTTGGCAAGCCATTGGACCACATGCTTGCCCAGCCGTTGTGGACACCCGTGGGGGACACTCGTGGGAGGAAGAGAGGAGGAGGAGGAGGAGGAGGAGGAGGAGGAGGAGGAGGAGGAGGAGGAGGAGGAGGAGGAGGAGGAGGAGGAGGAGGAGGAGGAGGAGGAGGAGGAGGAGGAGGAGGAGGAGGAAAAGGACAAGGAGAAGAAAAACGACAGGAAGCCTTTTGGGATCTCTTGGGGCCTTCTGGGGGCGTCTTGTATGCTTCTGAGGGCCTCTGAGGACCTCGTGTGGACCTCTTGGAGGCCACCTCTTGGAGACTTGTTTTCATCTTGGCCTTCGGAGGCCGCCTTGGGGGTCCGTTTGGACCGCTGCGGGGCCATCTTTGGGCGCTTCAGAGCCGTCTCGGAGGTCTGTGGGGCCGTCTTGGGGCCCTCTTGCAGCTGCCTTGGGACCCGTCTTGGGGCCCCTACGGCCCGTCTTGGGGCCGTCTTCGGGGCTTCTTTGGCTGCCTTGGGCTATCTTTTAGCCTTCTGTGAAAGGGGCAATCTTCGCGGATGTCGGAAATCCGACATAGCAAGAACGCCTAAATTATCACATTACTTGAATGAACACGTTGGCCTCCTACAGGTCCGCTTGGAGCGCTCTTGGGGCGCCTTGGGCGCCTTGGGGGCCTTCCAGAGGGCATCTTGCGCCGTCGTCTTGCAGTCGTCGCGAGCCGACTCGGGAGCCTCTTGGGCCCTCTTGGGCAGTCTCTGAGGCCATGTTGAACCACCGTGGGCCAACCTGCAGGGAACCTTTGCCATCTTGGAGCAGCGTCACCCCAACATGCTTATACTATATGTGCGTCGCCCCGCACCGAGCAACCTTATAGTGTATGCGTCGTGGCCTGGGGACGATTTGCTTTGGTCTTATATATGCTGTGGCCTGGGGACCTTTTACCTATTTGTTTCACCTTATAGTCAAACACATAGTCTGGGGACAATTTGTGTTGGCCATGTTTGAGTATTTGTTGGGTAGGTTTGTTGACTATGTTTCATTTCTCGTCCAAAATCGGCCTGTAGAGGGACAGGCTCGCCTTAAAACAAGTCGCGCCAAGCATCCCTGTGATCAACATGTTCTCCCGCCGCAGCACGGCAGAGGCAGTCCGCGCGGGCGCTCGCAGTGGCCGGGGACGCACGAGGGACAAAGTGTCCGGACGCAAGAGGGGGGAGGGGGGACGCGGGAAGGCAGGGCGGCCGCGGAGGGGGCGCGGAGATGCGCACGTGCGCTGCAGCGCCGACCCGCACGACCAGGGGGGAAGGGTGACGGAGGAGGAGGAGGGGAGGAGAGGGAGGAGGAGGAGGAGGAGGAGAAGGAGGAGGAGGAGGAGGAGGAGGGGGAGGAGGAGGAGGGGGAGAAGGAGGAGGAGGAGGAGGAGGAGGAGGTGGGGGAGGAGCAGGAGGAGGAGGGGAGGAGGAGGAGGAGGAGGAGGAGGAGGAGGAGGAGGGCTCTCACAGGTGAAAGAGTTTTACGGCGAGCGCGCCGGTGCGGCCCGCCAGGGAGTGTACCGGCTTGTGGGGCAGTCGCGCAGGCCAGAGCACCCGCGTGGCGCAAGCATTCGAAGGCGCCGGCCAGGGAGCGGGCCGCCTGTTCGGGCAGCCCGCGCACTCACAGCACGAGCTCACACACCCACTCACGCCCACAGGGGTGCGTCCCCCTCGGAGGGGGGTCGCACCGATCAGGCAATCGGGCGGTGCAAGCACTGAAAGCGGGCACGCGTGCCAAAGAGCACGTCCACGACGGAGGGCAGACGCATGTGCCAAGGCACCATACAGTGGAGGCCCATGCCAAGACGCACCCTGCTCGCCTCCAGGGTACCCTGGGTTTCTTGAGTTTCGATGGTCTTGCCATGGAAAGCGAGACACTCCCGCGCCAAAAATCAGTGGACGTCCTGGGGTCTCAGGGTTGGGTTTCTTGTGGAAGGTTTCTTGTGAACTGGCCTCTGCTGTGACGGCTGCGCCTTTCCTCGGCGTCACCCCATCATACTTATACTATATGTGTTCGTTGCCCCCCCGGGGCGACGCGCGCACCGAGCAACCTTGTAGTATATGCGTCGTGGCGGGCGCTTTCTGGCCACACCGCTCGGGAAACGATATACTACAAGATGGGTATACTGTATGTTCGGGTCGGACGCGCGCCTCCAAGGAGGACACGTAGTATTAGTACGTGTCTGTGCGTCCCATTTCCTGGGGGGGCCACGCGGTCCCGGGGGCCGAAAGCGGCGTCGGGTTCTCAGTGTCGTGCGAGTCAGGCAGCCCGCCACGCCGGAGCACACGGCGCAGCCTGCCAGCAGGCGCAGTGGTAAGTCGGGCACGTCCCTCTACAGGAGGAGTATTCAAAAGTACGGAAAAATAATCAGGGGACGTTTTCTGGTTCAAACAACCAGAGATATTATAGTCGAAAGCCGCCTGCTTGGGGACATGCCCGACCTAAGCGTAGTGAAGGGGTTCGCCTGGTGCCCCGCACACGATTCCACGAATCAGGGTCCTGGCAGGCGCAGCAGCGGGCTCCAGGCTGGGCCTTTCAAACGGTGTCGGCTTAGCCGGGCCCTCATGCTCAAGAGAGGCCGAGTGCGGCTACGCCGCCGGGGCTGCGTGCAGTCACCTAGCGTGCTCTGGGCCCTGGGCAGCGTAGAGGTCGAGGTCCAGCAGCGCGTCGTCGTCCTGGGCGCCGCCACCCGTGTCGCAGGCTGCCGCCGCCGCTCCAGCGTCGGAGCCTGTAGCCTCCTTGATCTCCGCCGCCTCCGAAGACGTGCCAGCCATAAGTGGGGCCACCATGTTACCTCAGCCTTGGACGGGGTGCTCTGGCCTGCCAGGAATAGGCCGTCGCCCCGGTCCGGGCGTGCCTGCGCTGCTAGGCGACAGTCGTTTTTGAAGCGGGTCCGCAGTGGCGACGAGGCAGGGCGGCACCCAGAGTGGGGGGGACGGGGTTGGGTGAAGGGCTTTACTGTTCTCTGGCCCAGGAGTGTCATTGGTCGCGCCCCTTTGTGCGTGGGTGCGTCCGAGGCCTTTCGGAGGCTTGTTATCTTGGGTGTCTCTTGAGGGCCACTTTGGGCCTAGAGTTCTCTTGGGGCTCTTTTGAGGGCACCGCCTAGAGGCTAGAGGCTAAGCACGTGGTCTTCTTCGTACACAGAGCTCCCAGGAGAGTCTCATCTGAGGCATCAGGCCTCCCTCTCAATCCTCACCTCCGACACCCTAGTTTGGAGTCGTCCAGAGCAGCAACAACTCCCTCTCCCTCCCTCCCGCCCCCTCCCTCTCCCTCCCTCCCTCCCGCCCGCTGCCGCCCCCCTCCCTCCCTCCCGCCCCCTCCGCCCCCACCCTCCCTCCCTCCCGCCCGCCACCTCCCGCTCCCTCCCTCCCTCTCCGGATTCTCCGCCCCTGGACCTCCCTCCCTCCCTCTCGCCCCTCCCTCGCCCGCCCTCCCCCCCCTCCCCTCCCCCCCGCCCCCTACCCTCCCCCCCCCCCTCCCCCCCCCCCTCCCGTCCCCCCTCGCCCTTCCACAATTACAAAGATGAAAATACTCTCCACTTCCCCTGATGGGCGTCCCGAAGATATCCGGACCCCCCCCGCGTACTGTTTTTTTACACACAGGATTCCCGGAAACGGGTTTTCGCCTGCGTTTTTTTTTATGCTGCTCTCGCTGAAGCGCCGGCCTCATTTCTGCTCCCGAATTGTTCCGAATCGTGCTCCCGCTGCAGCGTGGGCCTCATTTTCGGATCGGTGTTTGGCCTCCGTCGTTCAGGATGGCGTTCTCGCCCCAGCGCGGGCCTCTTTCTCGCGCGCCCATCCGCCCGCCACCACCGCGCCGCACCACCACCACCACCACCACCACCACCACCACCACCACCACCACCACCACCACCACCACCACCACCACCACCACCACCACCACCACCACCACACACCACCACCACACCACACCACACCACACCACCACCACCACCACCACCACCACCACCACCACCACCACCACGCACACACGCACGCACGCACGCACGCACGCACCACCACCCCACTACGCACGCGCGCGCGGAGCCACCAGGTCCGCTACGACACGCGTCCGCGGATAGAGAAAATCAGCGCCATGGTAAGGGATGGGATGGGAGGGGTAGGACGTCAGATATGACGCGAGCGCACCTAGCTTGCCCCTCCCCCCCCCCCCCCCCCCTCCTCCTCCCCGCCCCCCCCCCCCGCCCCCTCCCCCCTCCCGCCCCCCCCCGCCGGCGCAGGCCGCGGCCGAGCCCGCCGCGGAGCCGGCGCCCGCTGCGGCGGAGAAGCCGGAGGCCAAGGCGCTGCGGCCGCCCCCTCCGCTCGTCAAGCAGAGGCGAGGCGTCCCGGCGTGCCTAAAGTGAAGTCGGGCTCGTCCCTCTACAGGGGGAATATTCAAAAACAGTCCAACAATAATCAAAAGATGATCTGGGGACTATTTTGGGCCATGTTTGGGCTTCTCTGGAGCATGTTTGGGGTATTTTTGATTTTTCGTCCAAAATCCCCCTGTAGGGGGACACGCCCGACTGAAGCTTATAGGCCTACCAAAGAATGTTCTAAGAACCTTTTGTGGTCGACACGAAATGTTCTTGGAGCAAGGGCGCCATCGAGGGCGCGAAGTGATTCGCGCTTCGCGCTTCGCGGTTCGGCTCCGATTCCTCCTCATCCTCCTCTTCTCCCCTGGGAGGCGGCGCGGGAGCGCGAAGTTATTTGCACTTCGCGGTTCGCGCAGCGCGAAGGGCGAAGTTGGGAACCCTTGTTGGAACATTTCTGGTTGGGGCTGTTTTGTTTTTAACACATCGGGCTCATGTTCTAAGAACGCTGCTTTTGCTCTTACAAAATTTTCGTGCTCAAAGAACATTTCGTAGTAGGCCTATATGAGAATGCCGGGACGGTCGGTCCCTGCTCAAGGGGGGGGACAAATCGCAGGCGGCTATGTCCCCCCCGCCCCCGACTTCTTCGACGAAAAAGGATCGGCGGCGAGCGAGGGGGGGGGAGTGAGCAGGAAAAGGCCTTCTCAGGAATCGGCGGGGCCTGTTTCAGCGGCCTCCGGGCCTTCTGAGCAGTCGTTGTAGCGTCTTCGGGGAAGGCTTAGTTGAAAACTCATCCGATGGCGGGGGGACTTCTGGGCCTCTGAGAGGGCCTCTTCCTTCTCACTTCCCCCCCGGGGCTCGCCGCGAAAATGCAGCCGCCGGGACATCTGGGGGTTGTAACCCGAGGGGGCGATTCTAAGGAAGGAATGAAAACACGCAGACACAATGAATCGTCACCCCCCGGGAACATATGGGAAACTATGGGAAGTGGGGGGGAGACGAAAACCCATAAAAATATTGGAACACATGGGGAATCCTGGGATTTGTGTCTATTTACTGTTTAGTTCTGTGTCCCAGGGCCCCTTCATGTTCGGACGCACCCCTTACCTAGGATGGGCGCCCCCCTGTCGTGCATCCCAGGGTCGTGAAGCGGGAAGCGGTCGGGGCTCAAGGGACGGGGGTCCATTCAAACGGGGGTCAGCCAGAGCGCGGGATCCTGCAGGACTCTGCGGAGCCAGGGGTGCAACTGACCGAGGGCAGCGTGCAGGGTCCTGCAGGATCTCGCGGGATCCTCCATGACACTGCGAACCCTGACTGACCTGGGGTGTGGATTCACCTGGGTCAGTAAGATCCCCGAAGTGGAGGGAGGGACTCGTGGCCAGCAATTGTGGCTTAGCGTGTCGCGCCGCCAATTGTTTCGGTAGCAGCTCATGGGAGCCTTGTCTTAAGTCGGGCTTGTCCCTCTACAGGGGGAATATTCAAAACTAGTCAAAACATAGTATGGGGACTATTTTTGACCATTTTTGAATATGCTTAGGGTATTTCTGATTTTTTTGTTGTTCGTCCCAAATCCCCCTGTAGGGGGACAGGCCCGACTTAAGCCTCGTCTTGATGTCCACGAAGGTCGATGCCCGCGGCGGTGCTTCTGGATCAAACTTCCCGCCTCGCCCCAAACCGGGGGGAGGGGCCGAGGGCTGCAGGGGGAAGGTGGGCCCCGAGAGCGGACGGAGGAGGCGATAGGGGAGGAGGAAGGAGGAGGAGGAGGAGGAGGAGGAGGAGGAGGAGGAGGAGGAGGAGGGGGAGGAGGAGGAGGAGGAGGAGGAGGAGGAGGAGAAGGAGGAGGAGGAGGAGGAGGAGGAGGAGGAGGAGTGCAAGCCCAAGGAGCATCAGCGGTGTCGCAAGAAGCCTGAACCTGTTCTGCCGCCCACCCGATGCCTCCCTCCCCGTCGACGATCCAGTCGGACGACGCTCGGCGGCGAGCGAGGGGGGGAAGTTAAGGCGTTTTTCGAAATAGTTTGAGTCAATCCGGACCCGTTTTGTAGATCCTGAAAGAGAGAATTTTATGTTTACCTTTAAGTCCGTATGATTTGTTTAGATAGGTTTAGCAGAAAAAAGAGTTTTCACAGTCGTATATCGGTAGGCCCCAAATTATGAACAAAAATGCGAGGAGGAGAAAGCCTTCTCAGAAGACCTTTAAATCGGACTTGTCCCTCTACAGGGGGAATGCTCAAAAGTAGTCAAAACATAGTCTGGGGACTTTTGCTTGACTATTTTTGAGTATGTTTAGGGTATGGTTTGACTATCTTTTATTTTTCGTCCAAAGTCCCCCTGTAGGGGGACAGGCCCGACTTAAGAAGACCCTGAGATCCTGGCGCTGCAATGGTTTCACGGCGGCCGCTCTCGCTCGCGTTCGGGCCCCGGGGCCCTCACGGTTCGATCCGGTTCGAGACATGGCGCGGGAGGATGCCAGGGGACGGCGGGGCTTCTCAGAAGCCCTCGCGCCTTCCGAGAGGCGTCCTGCGTCTCCATGGAAGGCTCAGAACACTTCTCAGAAGGCCTGGGGACTTCCGAGCCTTCTGAGAAGGCCCGCCCCGTCTCACTTCCCCCCCCAGGCTCTCCGCCGATGTTCCCTCCCCGTCGACGATCCAGTCGGGCGAAACAGGGGGGACGGGGTCACGTAGGACTAGGTCGAGCCTGTCCCGATACAGAGGGAATATATCCCAAAATAGTCAAACAATAGTCTGGGGACGGTTTTTTTTTTTTACTACTTTTGAGTATTCGGGTGGGTATTTTTTTGAGCATTTTTCATTTTTCGTCCAAAATCCCCCCGTAGGGGGGGGACCCGCCCGACTGAAGGTTACGCAGGAGGGGTTGCGACAGCTGCCGGCCGCAGCCGGTTCATGGGAGGTATTTTGTTGGAGTATTTTGGGGGGGTAATTTTTTTGAGCATTTTTCATTTTTCGTCCAAAATCCCCCCGTAGGGGGACCCGCCCGACTGAGGGCTACGCAGGAGGGGTTGCGACAGCTGCCGGTCGCAGCCGGTTCATGCGAGGTTTTTGTTTATTTAGGATTTTTGGGGGTATTTTTTATTTTGAATATTTTTCATGTTCGCCCAAAATCGCCCCGTGGGGGGGCACGCCCGACTGAGGGCTGCGCGGGAGGGATGGCGACAGCTGCCAGCCGCAGCCGGTTCATGCGAGGTTTTTTTTTGTATTTTTGGATTTTTGGGGGTATTTTTTATTTTGAATATTTTTCATGTTCGCCCAACATCGCCCCGTGGGGGGGCACGCCCGACTGAGGGCTGCGCGGGAGGGGTGGCGACAGCTGCCAGCCGCAGCCGGTTCATGCGAGTTTTTTTTATTTAGGATTTAAAAAGGAAAAAAAAAATGTTTCATGTTTCGCCCAAAATCGCCCCGTGGGGGGGCACGCCCGACTGAGGGCTGCGCGGGAGGGGGGGCGACCCCTGCCGGCGCCGCCGCCGGCTCGAACGGGCCCGGCCGCCGGGCGCGTGCCCGGATAGGGCGCTGGCGCCTCTGCTGGCGCCGGGGCAGGAGGCGCCGGGGCGAGCGGCCGCGCTGGGCGCCCGACATATGGCAGGGAACTACCCCAGAGATCCAACGTCTTGAAAAAATCAAGACGGAGGTTTTTTTCAATTTTCGGCCTCGAGGGGCCGTCGCCGGGCCCCGGGACCGTCAGAAGACGACTCGGGATGAGAAACGGGTCCTGGGGAGTGGGTCGAGACTTCTGGGGACCCCGTATTGAAAAAATCACGACATCGGATCCCTGGGAATGGGTACAACTCGGGGGCGGCGAAGAGTCAGAGCCCCGAATCATCAGAGGTAACTCGGGTCAGGGCTAACTCGGGTTCGTGGTTTCGGGAGTCCAAGCCCGAGTTACCCCGGACCCGAGTTGCCCCGGATAACTCGGGCGTCCAGAGCCCCGAATCATCAGGGGTAACTCGGGTCAGGGCTAACTCGGGTTCCTTTTTTCGGGAATCCAAACCCGAGTTACCCCGGACCCGAGTTATCCCGGATAACTCGGGCGCCCAAAAGAGGGGGGTGATGACTAGGGGGGGGGGATATCATGGCGGGGGCCACGATTTTTCCCCAGATTTCATGGCGCCCCTCCTCGTTTCATTACGTCCCTGGTCCCTCCGCTGGGCCGCGCACATGCCCCCGGTCATGATTTGCACCCCCCCCTCTTGGACACCCCCCTCTTGGCCGCTCCCGAACAATTCCCAACAGCAGTTCCTGTTCATTTTGAACAGGATTCGCTGTCCACGCCGCCGCGGCCTGTGTTCATTTGAGACAGAAGGCCGCCTGCCCAACAGCGGCCGCTGTTGGTTCGGGACAACATTTGCTGTTGGGCATTTTTGCCCATTCTTTCCGTACCCATTACCCTGACCTTCCATGCGGGCAATCGTTATATCCACATCCAGTGCGTCTTGGAGCTTTGGGCTCGCATCCCCAGAAACAGGAGGCGCACTGGGTATGGATGAAGATCTTGCCCCAGAAGGTTGTTGATGTTTATCCATATGCAGTGCGGCTCGGCCTTGCGGCACCCCTTCCCAACAAGTCCACGACGCTCTGGATATGGATATAAGTATTGGCCGCATTCCAGAGTGCCAGAAAATAGCACTCCAGACCTGTAGACCTTTCTGGACTGCCCCAGACCTCGGCAGGAATCAGGACGTTGATGTCCTGGCGCTATGTTTTCAGCCCTCCTGGCAGGTCTGGGCACTGTGCCCCTCCACCCATCGGGCCGGACGAAAGGGGGGGGTTGGGAAAGGGGGGGGTACGAAATTTGCTGCATGCAGCTGATTTCGGCCTCACCGCCAGGCCCATTCCTCGATACATGGGCGCCTCCCGGCGCCGGGAGGCGCTGGGAAAATCAGCTACGTGAGCTGATTCTCAAACCCCCCCTTTGCTATCCCTCCCTTTCGCCCGACCCGAACCCACACCTCTCGACGAACGCCCCCCGACGCGAGACGAACGCCCAGGCGATGATTTGCACGTCCACCCTGCTGGCGCACGGCGAGGCCCCGCCCGGCGCTGTGCAGGCGCAGCGTCGTCCTGGAGCACCGTCGCTTGTGATGCGGCGCAGTTTGCCAGCGCTGGCAGTACTCTCAGCATTGCTCTAGGCCTCCTAGATGGGGTCGGAGTAGATGGGGTCGGAGGATCGCGCCGCATCGCCGATGCATCGCCGATGGGGCTCGATGTGCAGCCCGATTTGCGTCACGCCGACATCGCCGGGGCATCGCCAACGTCGATGATGCATCGCCGGTGCATCGCCGATGCATCGCCGATGCATCGACGATGTATCGCCGATGTATCGGCGATGCGGCGCGATCCTCCGACCCCATCTACTCCGACCCCATCTAGGAGGCCTCTAATTGCGTCACGGTGGTACGGGGTTGCCTCATATACTCTGTTTTTCTTTGACCTTTGGATCGCGCCAGGCAGCTCCGCAATGGAAGCGGGCAGTTTCCTCGTCCAGGGGCGCAGCGACCAGGTGTCGCGCGGCTTTTTTTGCCCATGAGAAGAGATGTGGTGCTTAGTCGGGGCGTAAGACCCGGGTTTGCCAGGACTCGGGTTCGCCATCGTTTTTTGGCGACCGCGACTCGGATTTTGACGAGTAGGAGTTTCGTGGGATGTCTGCAGCGGGAGGCCTCGTCAAAATGCAGGCTCGGCCTCGTCATTTTTTTGACGACCTCGTCGGGGATTTCCGAGTTCCCTGTGCCCGGGTCTTACGCCCCCATGATCCACCCCAACTCCTCCCTCGAACAACATCGGCCCGAGACGAACGGCCCGAATCCCTGGGCGCCCGCGGGCATTTCCGGCGGCGGCCCTCGCCCCGGGGCGGTGCGGCGGCTCGGCCGCCCCGTCTCGGCAGGGATGGCGGGGCTTTCTCGGGGCCGAGGATTTTGTTTTTGTCGTCTGTATATTGCTAATGCCTTAAGGCGGGTGCCGCCGACCCTGAAGACGACGACGACGACGACGACGACGACGACGAATACGAGGAGGAGGAGGAGGAGGAGGAGGAGGAGGAGGAGGAGGGGGATTCAGGTGGAAGGGAGCAGGAGAAGGCGAAGGAGAGGTTCCCCTATGTGGGCCAAGGGAGTCGTAGCGGGCCATGCCTTCTCTGGGCCGAGGATTTTGTCTCTGTTGTATGTATATTTGCGCATATGTATGGACTCGAAGAAGGGAACGCCATAAACAAAAACATACAATTCTGGCGCTCCGCGCGGACGTCTTGGATCCGCGCATGGGGCTCCCTGACGGCACCTCCAGCGCCGCCCTTGGCGTTCTCCGCGTGCCATTGAGGGGGGCCCCGCGCAGATCCATGAAATCCGCGAGGAGCGCCAAAAGTTCATGTTTATGCAGTTTGTTCTTCTTCTATGGATGCCTTCCTTGCCAAGCTGGGCAGGAGTATATCGGACGGGGCTAGGACGAGGATAAACCCGTTCCAGAGCGTTCTGGGACGCTCTCGGAGCGTTCCAGAACGTTCTGAGAGGGCCGCGGCGCCCAAGACATCCTCCAGAGCCGCCTGATCCCAGAGATTCGCGTTGTATCCTCACCCGATGTTGTCCTCGTCCTGGCCTCGTCTTGGTATATGCGCATTTGTACGGATGCTTTCCTGGCCAAGCTTCTGGTTGACCCAGAAGGGGGCCCAGCTACAAGGGGGTGGTGCAACATGCGTAAGATTTGGTGCAATATGCATTCATGGGTTTGCAATAGATTTGGGGCGTGCAGTGCACTCTGGTGCGCAGATGTATTGCCGGACTTCCGCGGGCAATGCATTAGCTGCAGTACAATGCAACACAATTCTCCGACGCAGTACATGTGCAATACGCAGGAGGGAAAACACACACAGACACAGTCAATTGTCGAGGTCCCAGAAGATATGGGCAAATACGGGAGGCGGGGGGGGGAAGACAGACATCCAGAAACCATGAGGGAATCTGGGGCATCCCGTTTCTTTGTGTGTACGTATTTGTGTGCTTGTGGGCCCCTTGAGAGACACTTGCCCCGAATCTCCTGCACCGCCCCCCTTGGCAGCTGGGCCCCCTTCTGGGTCGACCCGCTGGGCGGGAGCTTAACGCCGATCCCCGGGCCCAGGGCGGGCCCTCCTCCTCCTCCTCCTCCTCCTCCTCCTCCTCCTCTTCCTCCTCCTCCCCCTCCTCTTGCTCCCCCTCCTCCTCAGCCTCCGTCTCCTCCTCATCTTCCCTCCTCTTATTCTTCCTCATCCTCCTCCTCATCCTCCTCCGGTGCCGGTGTGCAGCGGGCGCGCTGCCCGCGGGGTCGATCGAGGGTCGCGGATCGAAGACCTCGAGGGGATTGGGCCAAGTCTTAAGTCGGGCCTGTCCCCCTACAGGGGGAGTCTCGGCGAAAAATAAAAAATACCCCAAACATATTCCAAAAAGGTAATCAAATACTCAAATAAGAATGCCCAGACCATTGTTGGATTTTTTTTGATTATTTTTGGGGTATTCTTTTTTTTTCGTCGAGAATCCCCTGTAGGGGGACAGGCCCGACTTAAGCCAAGTCGGGCCATGTGCCTTTAGAGTTGTGATGTTCCAACCTACTTTAGCCTGGATTACCAGAAAGGAGCGTCGAGCACCAGGAAGGTACCGAAATGGTATGGGTTTTCACGTGTCGGGCCCGGGGAGACACCCGTTCGACACTGTTTCGACACTGCTTCGACACTGTTTCGACACTTTTCCTGGTGCTCGAAATTATTTCTGGGATGAGGTCCTTAAGTACGGTGGGAACACCATAACTCTAGAGGAGGACTATTCAAACATAGTAACATAATAGTTCTGGGACGTTTTTTTATGTTTTTGTTTGTCAGTTTTATTCGCGTAAGTTTCTTCTATCTACTGTAGGATGAGAAATGCCGAACCTCCAGCTTGGGGTGGTCTTGACCCTTGGAGACAGGGAGGGGTGGGACTTTCATAGGTTACGTTGCATCTTCGGGTGCCCTCGCCTGTCCCCCAACGCTGGTGTCCTTTCTTGTGCCCGATGCGGACTCGACGCGGATCCGGCGTGGATTCGACGCGGATTCGACGCGGACCCGACGAGTCCGACATGGATTCGGCACGGATTCGACGCGGATAGGGTCGCGACGGGACAGACAAGGTCCCCTGAGGATGCCGCACAACATAGGGGGGGGGATGCATCGATCAATGGCGTATTGCTCGCCGATGGGGCTGGATAGCCCCGCTCCGCCCAAGAGGGCGCGGATTCACGATCGGGTGCCTACCGCCGATCTGTCGGCGACGTGTCGCCGATTCCAGGGCCATGCTTCCCCCTCTCCCAGTCCCCCCCTTCTCGTTGCCCTTCAGAGGAGCACAATCCAGGAGCGAGATTATTTGCCTTAGGGCGGTTTTCGCACCCCTTGCGGCCTCCAGACTCCCTGGCGACGCCGGAGAGCATTCCAGATCATCGAACACAACTTCTCCTCCCCTCTTCTTCCTCCTCCTCCTCCTCCTCCTCCTCGTCCTCCTCCTCCTCCTCCTCCTCCTCCTCGTCCTCCTCCTCCTCCTCGTCCTCCTCCTCCTCCTCCTCCTTCTCCTCCTCCTCTTCCTCCTCCTCCTCCTCTTCCTCGATCGAGGAGGGGTCCACCATAGCGCCCGCCCGCGCCGAGGTGGAGGAGGCGGCGGACAAGCCGGCCGACTCGAAGTCCACGCAGAAGGCTTGCTTCTCCCAGGAGACGGAGGAGGAGGGAAGGGGAGAAAAGGGAGAACGAGGGAGGAGGAGGAGGAGGAGGAGGAGGAGGAGGAGGAGGAGGAGGAAAAGGAGGAAAAGGAGAAAAGGAGGAAAAGGAGGAAAAGGAGGAGAAGAGAAGGAAAGAAGAGGAGGAGGGGGAGGGGGAGGGGGAGGGGGGGGGGGAGGGGGAGGGGGAGGGGGAGGGGGAGGAGGAGGAGGAGGAGGAGGAGGAGGAGGAGGGGAGGAGGAGGAGGAGGTGGGGGAGGAGGAGCAGGAGCAGGAGGAGGAGGAGGATGATGATGAGGAGGAGGAGGAGGAGGCAGGAGGAGGAGGAGGAGGAGGAGGAGGAGGAGGAGGAGGAGGGCGAGGAGGAGGAGGAGGAGGAGGAGTAGGAGGAGGAGGATGACCAGTGTAAACCCAAGAGCCATCAACGATATTGGAATACACCCTCCCTCCAAGCTCCCTCCTCATAGGCCCCTACAACGGTTCATTTCCATTGAAGGATCTGGCTCGTTGGAAGACAACCGTTGAAGACTCGGAAGCATGCCAAAACATTGCTCTCGGGATATTTGAACGCTACAAATCAACCTGACTCTTGCGTCTTGACGATCCTGAATCGCACCAGAACGCCATTCTTGGGATTTCAACACCGCGAATCAACGTAACTGCAACATCCGCAAAATCCTGAACCCTTCCAAAACGTTATTGAATCGCTTCGCTCATTCCGCCGGCCCATTTTGTATCAATAGTGCTATATGTGGGCGTGCTCGTGGCGAGCGAGAAGGAGAAGGAGGAGGAGGAGGAGGAGGAGGAGGAGGAGGAGGAGGAGGAGGAGAGGAATAGAGGAGGATGAGTAGGAGGCCTCTCGATTGTTTCTTGGGGCATTTTGGGGCCAAACTTGATCGTGGACAACACGTCTCTTTGGGAGGCGTCTTGGGGCCTCTTGGGAAGCCTCTCGGGGGCGTCTTGGCGGTATTTCTAGGACCTCCTGGGGCCTCATAGGGGGCCCCTTGGGGCCTCTCGGGGGCGTCTTGGGGGCCTTTTGGGGTCTCCTGGGGATTCTCGGAGCCTAGTGCGCGAAATGTCTGTTCTGGTCCCCCCCGTCGGGGCCCGCTCTTGGAGCCGTCTTGGGCCTCTTGGGCCTTCTGGGGCCTTCTGGGGCCGTTTCGGGGCGTTCTTGGAGGCCTCTTGGGCCGTGTTTGGGCTATCGAGGGTTCCTTTTGGGCCGTCTTGGAGCGCCGGTAAGCCGAAAAGGCGAGAGTGCCAAAGTCTTCCAAAAACCTACGGGAAAAACACACATTTGTGCATCTTGGGGGCCTCTTGGGAGGTGTCTCGAAGGCATCTTGGGGCGTCTTGGGGGCATTTTGAGCCGTCTTGAGGCAATCTTGGAACGCTTTGGAGCGCTATTGGCCCGGGGCTGTGGGGCCTGCCACTTAATTGACGCCTCCTTGGGGCGCTCCTGGAGCGCTCTGGGGTCTTGCAAGGCTGCGCCCAGGAGGTCCGGCATCTCTGACCCGACCTTGCTGGGGACTCTGCTGGGGATCGCCCAGGGTACTTTTCGCCCAGCGAACTAGAATATTGTTAACCAGCAGCCGGAGATCTTAGCACGCCTCTTGTCCGTTGGGCCGGCGAATTTCTGGTAGGTTGATCGTGGGAATATGTGAAACTCTTGCAGATCTTACGAGAGGATGTGCGTGGCGCTAAGGCGAGAGCCTCATTGGTGGAGGAGGAGGAGGAGGAGGAGGAGGAGAAGGATGAGGAGGAGGGAGGAGGAGGAGGGGGAGGAGGGGGAGGGGAGGAGGAGGGAGGAGGAGAAGGAGGAGGAGGAGGAGGAGGAGGAGGAGGAGGAGGAGGGAGGATGAGGAGGAGGGAGGAGGAGGAGGAGGAGGGAGAAGAAGGGAGGGAGGAGGAGGGAGGAGGAGGGAGGAGGGAGGAAGGGAGGATGGAGAAGGGAAGGAGGGAGGGTTGGAGGAGAGCAGGAGGAGGAGGAGGAGGAGGAGGAGGGAGGAGGAGGAGGAGGAGGAAAAGGAGGAGGAGGAGGAGGCAGAGGAGGAGCAGCAGGAGGAGGAGGAGGAAGAGGGGGGGGGCGAGGGAGCGGTGAGGTCGAAGGGAGGCAGGAAGAGGAGGATGAGGAGGAGGAGGTGGAGGAGGAGGAGGAGGAGGAGGGGGAGGAGAAGAAGGGGGGAAGAGAAGGAAAGAGGAGGAGACGACCGATTTGTTGCTCTGAGTAGTCGGGACATCACCCGGTGGCCCATCGAGTTGTACGCCTCCTCCTGGAGAGGGGCATCCCAAGACGGGGGCCGACGGGAGCCAAGCGGTGCGGCAGGCGCGTCGGCGATGCGGCTCGACGTGGGGCCCGATTTGCTTCACGTCGGTGCCGCCGACGCATCATGGATGTATCGGCGATGCCGCGTTATCCTCCGGCCCCACCTACTCCGACCCCCGTACGAGGTCTCTGGTTGCGAAAGCAGCACACGGCGCGCAATCCAGACGTACGCACTACAGATTGCGTCGACAGCCTCTGGGGCCTTCAGCAGCGGCAGTCCTTCGCGATCGAGCGGGGCGCGCGGTGGCAGAAGCCAGGGCCTGCGTCGTCGTGGCCGGAACGTGCCGCATGCACATCAGACAACACAGCGGCCTGCCAGCAGGTCCCCCGCGGCGATCTCCTATTCCCCGAGGGCACGCTGCGAAGTCAGATGCGATGGAAGATTTTCGCGCCCGCTGATCTCTTTAGGTGGTGTACATTGTCGCAGGGGTCCTCTGGAGCAGAGGGGGGAGACGCCGAGGTCTGAAGGGGACGATGAGCAGAAGGGGGAGAGGGAGGGGGAAGGGCGAGGAGAAGACGCAGAGGAGGTGGCGGGGAGGAGAGGGGGGGGGAAAACTCGAAGTCTGCTCTCTGTAGGAGTGCCCCCCTGCCTTCGTCGCCGAAGGCGCTCTGAGTTTGCGGGTACCGAGCCCTCTCGGTCTGGGCCATGTTTCGGTTTTCGTGTTTGCTCGCTCATTCACCCGCCACCCGTGCACTTCATCTGGAGGGACATGGTTGCGCAAGGATCGATTGGAGGGTGGGGGAGGGGGAGGATGGGATTGGGGAGGAGGAGCTCACAAGCCTCGGTACTTCCCTACGCCTCCTTGCTCACCAATCGCTCCCGCCTCCCCACCCGCTCCTGCCCCGCCCCTCCTCCCCTTCCCTTTCCCTACCCCCCCATGGAAGAGAACCGAGGAGGATTGAGGAGGAGGCAGAGAAACATGATGAGATGAGAAGGATTGCGATGCTGTTGGTGATGATGATGATGATGATGATGATGATGATGATGATGATGATGATGCTGATGCTGATGCTGATGCTGATGCTGATGCTGATGCTGATGCTGATGCTGCTCATGTTGCTGATGCTGATGCTGCTGATGATGCTGATGCTGATGATGATGATGCTGATGATGATGGTGGTAAGGATGATGAC